GGGAGCAAGGCTGGGTCACCCCTTGAGGGCCAAGCGTGTGCGCTGTGAGATAAACTACCCCAGGAAGGGGGCCCCAGCTGCGGCTGCACGCTCCAGGAGCATGGCGGAGAGGCCCAGGCCCAAGGCTAAAGCCCCGGCCCTGTCAGACACCCAGGCCCTGCCCCTCCTCCAGAGGATCTCTGCCGGGCCTCAGATTCTAGAAGGTCCTGGGTCCCGTGGCCCAGCCCTTAAGGGCATGAAGATTGGGTGAGTATCCCATTTGTAGACCCGGGACCCCCCCTGCCAGCCACAGAGGCTCACCTCTCCAGCTCTGGCCACGGTCCTGGCTCAGGCGAGGGGGGTGACCCGGCAGAGCAGGGACTCCGGCAGAGGAGTGCAGTGGAGGTGGCAGCCGTGCACAGGCCGCTGACTTGCCGCCGTGTAGCTCTGGGCACTCGTGTGTGCCGGCGTGGGTCTGGGTGCATGTATCCATGTGCTTCCAGGCACGTGGGCGTTTGCACACATGTATGCATCCACGTGCTGCCAGGAGCCCCACTCTGCCTCCACCAGCCCCTGCCGTCAGACTAGCACCCGCAGGCACCTGGTTTCTCCCACCCCCACCAGGGGGCCCAGTCCAGAGAACCAGGAGAAGAGCAAGCAGGTCTCCTGCCGTCCCCCAGCTCCCCTCCCCACATTGCAGCTGAGGCTCCCGCTGGCCACGGCCTTGACCTGGCACTACGGACTTCTCTGACATTGGCATCGGATCTGAACATCTGGCAGCAGGCTGATAAGGGGTGCAGCGGAAACAGCCTCTGCTGCTGCCAGCAGCCCCGCCCCCTCCTGCCCTGCTAGGGGTCTCCACATTCACACTCCCCCTGCCTCCAGCTCCCCGGCCCGGCCCCTCTCTCGTCTCATTCCCTGCCTCAGTCTCCCTCTCCCCCATTGCCACTTTCTCTCTCTCTTTCTCAATTGTTCTCATTCTTTCCACCTCTCCCCCCTTCCTCTGTCCTATCCTCTCTCTCTCCCCCTCCCTCTCTCTTTCCCTCTCTCTCTTTCTCTATTTCTGAATCAGTTATGCTGTTAGTGGATCTCTCTTTTCTCACCTTCTGCCTCATTTCTCTGTGGGGCCTTTCTTTGTCTCTCTACACTGTACCCCAACCCCAGCCTGATGATTCTCTCTCCCTCTCTCTCTCTCTCTCTCTCTCTCTCTCTCTCTCCCCTCTCCATTTCAGTTTCTAGGTCTCTAGTTTGTTTGTTCCTTGTTCCACCACCAGGAAATAGGCCTGGCACGATGGGAAAGTCCCCACTTACAAGAGAGACCCTGGGCTTTGTTTGCTTGGGGAGGGGGGAGGGGGGAGCCTGGGTCAGAACTACACCCCTTCTCCTTCCCCTCTGGGTGGGTCTCATGGCCTGGGACCACCTGGGCTGGAGCTCGAAGGAAAGGACGAATAGGCCACCCAGGGGTCTGGCAGAGCAGAGAGGATTCTGACTCTGCAAGCCCACTGTGTGGATTCAAACCCCAGTTCCATCACACCCTTGCTTTGTGACTCTGGGAAGACACCTCGTCTCCCTGAACCCGAATTTCTTCATCTCTCAAATGCTGCTCATGAAAGGTGAGGAGAAAATACTACTTAGCTCCCAGGATGGTGGAGGCCGGCCACAGGTGTGGAATGGCAGGGGACCCGGCACACAGGCACTTCTGTGTTAGAGCCTTCCCATTCCCTGCCGGCCTCACCCAGCAAGAGCGGAAGAGGAGCAGTGCAGAGGAAGGGAATGCTCATAACTATATATCCAGGGTGGTCCGAGGAGAGGAGCTCCTAGCCTGAGTGGCAGAAGTTTCCGCTGACTGCCTAGGGACGGGAGGGGGAGGCAGCAGAACTCTCCCCCAACAGGCAGCATGTGGGGACTCCGGTAGAATCAACTCAATCCGTAGAATCAACTCAATCGTTAGAATCGACAAATGCTCACTGAAGCTTGCTTGCTCTGTGCGGGCTGCTGTGGCCCCAGAGATAAATCAGCCCTGAGCCTTTCCTTGAGGGTTCCCCAGGCGGGCTGAGTCACCCTGTCACAGAAGGGCAAACAGTGTTCAGGATGCTTGTGTAATCTCAGACTCAACACAGAAAGTGCCCCTGCGGACCCACCGGCCAGGCCTTTGGCTTACTGCTTGTTCGTGTTGTGCTAACATTTACTGAGCACACGGGACATGCCGGGCAGCCACTGAACGTGTTACAGGTGTGGTCTCATTTTGTCCCCATTTTATGGCGAGAATGTGAGGCCCAGAGAGAGAAGTGACTGGTCCCAGGTCACATAGGTGGGAAATGGCAGAACCGGGACGTTAGCCAGAGTCTCCACCACGAATCCCTCGGCAATTCTTCTTCTCGGGGCTCAGAGCCTCAGCAGACTGACAAAGCCAGGCTAGTTCTTTCCATGACACCACGGTGTTGAAAGACCCTGTTTTGTCCTGTTATAAGAAGACAGTGAAAGTGGACCTCATTTCGTAGTCTCCCATCAAAAGACATGCAAAGGACCATGGTTGTTTGTTGTGACATGTATGTGACATGTTGGTGATGATAAGGTGGTTGCCGGGATATTTCTTTCTTTAATTCAGAGGATTAAATGGTATTAATCCAGAAGCAAAACCACTGCATTGTAATGGGGAGACTATGGGGAGCCTGGGTTAAGTTAAGTGTCCAACTCTTAATTTCTGCTCGGGTCATGATTTCATGGTTCGTGAGTTCCAGCCCCATGTCGAGTTCTATGCTGACAGTGCGGAGCCTGCTTGGGATTCTCACTCCCTCTCTCTCTGCCCCTCCCCTGCTCACTCTCTCCCTCAAAATAAATAAATAAACTTAAAAAAATGGGGAGACTAGTTAGGTTCAGTCATATGCATATACAAGATATATCTTATAAGAACTTCAGTGGATGAAAAAGGAAAAATTATGAGGTCATGCATGTTGGGAATTAAGTGGTATATTATGTCATAGGTAGAAATTAGAATCCAAATATAGTAGAATTAGACTACAGTAGTCCCAAGGAGCCTGGGTGGCTTAGCTGGTTAAGCATCTGACTTGATCTCACTTCAGGTCTTGATCTCAGGGTCATGAGTTCAAGCCCCACTCTGGACTCTGCACTGGGCTCTGCACGTGAAGGCTACTTAAAAAAAAAAAAAAAAAAGAACATAGTAGTCCCCCGTACCTGCAGAGGATACATTCCAAGACCCCTCCAGATGCCTGAGACCATGGATAGTACTGAACCCTGTTTATGCTATGCTTTTTCCTACACATACACACCTATGACAGAGTTTAAGTTCTAAATTAGGCACAGTAACAATAACTCATAATAAAATAGAACAATTATAATAATATTCTGTAATGAAAGTTATGTGCATGTGGTCTCTCTCAAAATATCTTGTACCGTATTCCCCCTTCTTGTGAGGTGATAAAGTGCCTGCGTGATGAGAAGCGAGGGGAATGATGGAGGCATCGTGACAAAGCGTTAGGCCACTATGTGTCCACCTTCTAAAAACGTGTCACAAAGAGGACCATCTACTCCCTGGCCCTGGTTGACCACAGGTAACTGAAACAGAGGAAAGCAAAACCACGGATAAGTGGGGACTACTGTATACTCAATAGGTAGAATCAGTTAGTTATGACTACCAGGAAGATTTTTGTCTTGTGTGTACTTTCAAAATAAAAATCGTGTTCAGTGACACAAGAAGGAAGACACGCCAGGTTTTAAATAGAATTGACTTCAGTTATCCAGGAAATCCCTGCTCCTCCCAAGCCAGGTCAGTGAGGTGTTTTGTGATTGGCCTGCTTCCCTCAAATGAAGGGATGTGGTGAGGGTTCTCAACAGTGGTTGCCCCATGGCCCCCTGTGCCCTGCCCCAAACCCCAGGTAAATCTTCCAAGGACTGAGACTTCTTCCTTTTTCTTCCCTTTTCTCCAGTGCCTGGCATCTAGTGTGCACTCAGGGAACATGGGATGAATGAAGGAATGCATGAAAGAGGGTGTCAGGCGGCAGAAGGGTACAGAACAGAGTGCTTTGGGCCCTATCAGACCAGGACAGTTTAGGACCTGTCTGGACCTGGAGGTTGGACAGGGACATCCCCGGCTGCGTGGGGAGGCCTGGCCTGCTAGACAAAACCCCATGCCCTCTACCTTGCCCTATCCTGGCCTACCTACCCACTTGGCCCAATCCTGGCCTAGCTAACCCCCTGGTCCTGGAGGCAGTCTCAGCCCAGCCTCAACTTCCCCAGCTAGCCACTGGGAGCACCAGCAGCCCACACAGATGGTGACATTCAGAGAGGCCAACATGGAACGCACCCGGGAGGTGTTCAGTCAGCTCACTTGCTTGCCTTCCATTCCCCTCTTCCTCTCTTCACCTTCTGGAAGAGTAAAAAGATCAAGCCATGGCCGCACAGCCACCTGGTCAAGTCATCCATGCCCCTGCCTCCGCTCCAGGCCGACCTGACTCCACTCCCATGTCTGGGCCAGGCCGGACCCTGTCGGGCCAGGCCCCAGGGAGGTAGCCATTCAAGGGGAGAGAGGCCAGGCTGCAGGCCCGGTGGGGGAGCCGCCCATAAATCAGGCCCCACTCCCACCCAGTCGCTAACAAGCGGGGCTGCCTACCCGCCTACGTGGGGTCCCTGCCTCTGGGCTCCCACAGCGGCCTGGAACAGCCAGCTGGCCAAGGCCTCCAGAGTGCCTTGGCCTCCACCCCCACCGCGGCCCCCAGATAGATAGGGGTATTTTTTTTTTCTTTTAGGAGAAGAAAAAAAATAGATCTAAATGAAGAGAAACACCAACAAAGAAGGAGAGAGGCCTGCAGAGTCACGTGGGGGCAGAGACCAATTGGGCCTCCGGTGCCCCCCCCCCCAGGGCGGGGAGGAGGAGGGGGACGGACGGACAGGGCCAGCCTACTGTCCGCCTGCCGCCCGCCGTGGCGTGAAGGAGTTCCTGTGTGCCCACGGTCACCGCTGCCCCACCTGGGCTGCCGGAGTCTTCCCTCGGACCCCTGGTGCCCACTGTCCACCCTCATCCGGCGTGAGAGCTCGCCTTCCGCTCCGTAAGTGAGGGCTTGGGCCCAGGCCTCTAATGGCCAGCCTCCCTCCTCAGTGCCTCCCTGCGGCCTGCGCCGGCCACTGCCTGCTCTGCCGAGTGACTGGTGCCCGCGGCTCTGGGCAGGGAAGGGGCCAGAGATCATCCCAGACCTGCCCTCCCATCATGCTACCCCCTCTTCTTCCCTGGGCAGCCGATGGGAGGAGCTAGGCCTGTGGGGACAGGCCCTATGGGGGTCTGCGGTGTCCCGCTGTCTAGTGGTGGCCGAGTGTTCACAGTGCTGTGTTGGCCCAAGCCTAGCAGTCTGCAAATGTATCCATGTTCCCTGGGCCTGTCTTTGGGTCTCCGGGTCTCCCTGCCTGTGTATCTGTGTTGTCTCTGCGGATTTGTGTGGATTTGCGTGTCTGTCTCCAACGCCCTTCTGTCAGTCCCTGTTCTGTGGCCCGTCCAGATCAATGTGTGCTTCCCTGGGTAGGTGGGTGAGGGGCTGTGAGTCCCCACATGTTGAGCAGGAACCTGGGGCCGTGAGGGGTGGGCGCAGTGCAGCCTGGGTCAACCTCAGGGCTCCCGACCCGTGGTAATGTAACCTTTGGGGGAAGAAGGGAGTGGAGGTGGAGGGAGAGGGGGAGAACTGGCTCTGAACCCAGCCCCCTAGGCCACCTGCCCCCCCACCCCCACCCCCAGACTTGTGCTTACACTGCCTGGGTCTTCCTCAGCAATGTCCAGGAGACCCCAGCCTTCCCTCTCAGTCCCCTCCACTGCCCGCTCCTGTTTTCCACGTTCTGAGGGCCCCTCCCCAATGGAGAGCCGTTCAGAGGCAGCAGCTAGTGTTTCTCAGGGGCTGGATGTGAGGAGTCTGCAGCTAAATTCCAGCGGCTCTCTCTCCTTCCTCAGCAAGATTCGGCCAGGGCATCTCACGGAAACCACAGAACCCCTTCTGTAGGGCCAAACTTTTCCATTTTACATACGGATAAACTGAGGCCCAGAGAAGCAAAGGGACCTGGCCGAGCTTGCACAGCAAGTCGGCTGCCTACCCCACCCTTCATTCCACGGGTGGAAAGACCCGAGGAATGGTCTGTGTGGAGTCACCAGCCTCGGCTCGCGGACCAAGATGCCAGCTCCAAGCCAAGCCGGGTGGCAGGGGCAGCTCAGGTAGGGGCCCCAGACAAAGTCGGCCAAGGCCAGGGGCCAGAGCCTTCAGATGGGTTGCGTGGCTGTGGGTGCATAATTGTGGTTTCCCGCCTTCCCAGCCCCCGCGCCCAAGATCACAGTGTATTGGCCTCGCTGACCTCCACAATCTTCTCGGTGGAGGGGCGGGGGGTCAGGGGCAAGATGAGAGGTAGTCCCTTTCTCTGGTAAATGAGTAGTGCAGTAGACTTTCCCCTGCCAGAGCAAGTGCTCAGCCTGGCGCAGCCCAGGGTCCCCTTTGTCCCGGGGATGCTGGACGCTCCCTTTCCCCTCCCCCCAGCCCAGGTAAGGGCTCAGAATGGAATGGGGGGAGGGGTTCCTCTGTTCTCCTAGCTCCGGCGCCCCGGGTGACTTCCAGACCTCGCAGAATTCCCATTTCCGGCTCGAGCAAACTGAGGCCCACGGAGGAGAGAGGGCTTGCCCCAGGTCCCCCAGCTGGAGACTACTAAGCGCTTCCGCAGTGCTAAGGCATGCGTTGGGCCAACACCACTTCGGTTCATCGGTTCATCCGCATGCCCACTCTTAAGGAAGTTCAGTCATCGTTACCACTTCTCAGATAAGGAAACTGAGGACGTGTGTGTGTGTGTGTGTGTGTGTGTGTGTGTGTGTGTGTGTGTGTGTGTGTAGATTTGCTTAAGTCTCCAGTGAGGAAATGTGGCATGGCCAGGGCGAGACCTGGTTTCTAGCCTTGAACCCGTGCCTTGGCCACGGGCCCCCACGTTCGCCCGTACCCTCTTCCACACTGCAAAACGACCAGCGCCCCCCGTGTGGTCCTTGCCACGACTAAGCTGAATTCGCAAACGGGCTCGCCTCCTGGGTGGCTCGAGGCTCCCGGGCGCCCGGCACCTGCCCGGATTCTGAGGCGCCCGGGCTGGGAATGGGGGGCCGAGAGGCTGAGGGTAAAGGCGCTAGCCAGGCTAGGTGGCGGGGGAGGGCGCGGGCCGGGCCTCCGCCCCCGGATACCGCACGCGCTGATATAGAGGGGCCGGCCCCTGGCCCCTGCGAGGCGGGTTAGCGCAGCGCGCATTGGCGGCGGAGGGGCCCGGGTCCCAGGTGCGCCTCGGTGCGGCCCGGGAGGCGACGGGGGGCGGGGGGGACGGGGAGGCGGGGGGGGGGGCGCCGAGGCCCCGCGCCCCCGCCTCCCCGCCCCCGGCCCGATCGGCCGTCATCGCGGGCAGGCGGCGCTGCGCCCGGGTGCGGCTCATCGCCGGCGGCGGCGCGGCCGGGAGGTGCGGGGCTCCGCGCGGGTGGGACGCGGGGCGCTGCTGCTCGCAGGAGCCGCCAGGTGGGCGCCGGGCGAGCCGCGGCCGCCGTCGCGCCCCTTCTCGCTTCCTGGGCCCTGGCTCCGCGCGCTTCCCTCCTTGGAACTTCGACTCTCCGCCCGAGGTCGCTCCCCCGCCTTGGGCTCCGTCCCCCCGGAGCCCGGGAGGTCTCCGCCCGAGGTCTCGCGCCCGGCCTGCGACTCCACGCCCGGCGTCTCGGCTGCGCCCTCCCTCCGCCCGACGTCTCGGCCTCGGTGGCACGGGCTGCGCCTCCCGTTGCCGTCGCTGCCGCGGGCTTTGTCTCTCCCAGCCCGGGGGCCCCGGCGGCTCGGCGCTTTCGGGCTCTCAGTCCCGGCGCCGTCGTTCTCCGCCTCTCCCGGAGTGAGCCCCTGGCGGGGTCCGACCCTGCGGGGCCACGCCTCGGAGCTCGGGCTCCCGGCTCCCGCCGCGTTCCGCGCGCCTTCCCGTGCCCGGCCCCCCTGCTGGGCGCCTCCGTCTCTCCAGGTTTTCTCTCGGCGTCTCTGTCGCCCCTCTCTGCCTTCTCTCCCGGTTTCTCTTGCCTCTCGATGTCTCGGGCTGTCTCTCGTCTACCGCCGTGTCTCTGGCTCTGCGTCTGCCTTTCCCAGGTTTTCTCTCGGACCTCCGTCTCTCGGTGTCTCTGATCTCTCTCTCTTTTCGTTCTCTCTCTGCCTCCCTATCTCTCTGTCTGCCTCGTCTCCCCCCGGTTTTCTCCGCTAGGCTTCAGTGTGTCTGTCAGTCTCGGGTTTTCGTTGTCTCTGTCGCCCCGGGGTGCTCGCTCCGTTAGGCAGCGTCGGTCGGTATCTCTCGCTCTCGCTCTGCTCGTCTCTCTGTCTCCCTCAGACCCTGTCTCTGCCTCCTTCGTCCGTGTCCGATTCCCCAGGACACTCAGGCCCCACTCCGGCCGAGCTCGTTGGTGCCTCCCTCGCGGCCGAGCCCATCTCGTTTTCTCAGAATCGGGGTTTTGTTCTCAGACGAACGAATCTGGATCCAAGTGCACCGAATCCGAGGGTCCCGGATCGGGCGCCACGCAGACCACGCCAGGGGAGGCCCTGGCGGGGGCGGGGAGCGCGCGGGGCGGGAGCGCCGGCCCAGGGTCGCTGAAGGCCGAGCCCGGGCCCCCCACCCCCACCCCCACCCCGGCCCCCTCCCACTGCGGGCTGCGCAGGTTGCGCGAATGGGTGGCCAGCCACAGGCGGCCTTGACCCCCGCGCGCCAACGCGGGGCAGCGCCGTGGGGCGCCGGGTCCCGCGCCCAGGTCTGCCGCGCTGACGGTCGCGTCCCGCCCGCGGTGACCCCCTCCTCCCTCGGCAGGCGGACGCCGCGGGCATGGACTATTCGTACGACGAGGACCTGGATGAGCTGTGCCCCGTGTGCGGGGACAAGGTGTCCGGCTACCACTACGGGCTGCTCACATGCGAGAGCTGCAAGGTGAGCGGGCGGCGGGCGGCGGGCGGGCAGGACGCGGGCCGCAGGCCCGGCCCGGCGGCACCGCAGGAGTCGGGCCCGGGGAGGGGACGCGGGGCCTGCGCTCCTCCCGCGCTGACTCCGTCCTCCCCCAGGGCTTCTTCAAGCGCACGGTGCAGAACAACAAGCACTACACGTGCACCGAGAGCCAGAGCTGCAAGATCGACAAGACGCAGCGCAAGCGCTGTCCCTTCTGCCGCTTCCAGAAGTGCCTGACGGTGGGGATGCGCCTGGAAGGTGCGCGCGCCGCGCTGCGGGCCTCCGGCCGCTGACCTCTCTGTCTGACAGCGGGGCAGGGGTGCGGGTGCTGGGAGGGGTGAGAGGAGGGCACCAGTGGCTTTCTTCAAGTTTCTGGAGCCGGCCGCTGGCCCCTCACCTCTGCCGGGGAGGGGTGACGAGTGGCCGGCTCCGTCTGGTGAGGGGATACAGGGAGGCTCAGGCCCTGTCTCCAGCCTCTGAGAGCCGGTGCAGCACAGGGCAGAGCCCCGCAGAGCTCCCCCTCTGCAAGGAGACCTACAACACCCCCCACTGACACCCCCCCTCCCACAGTAGCCGGAGCCAAGGTGGTCGAAGCCTTTACCAGAGTTCAAGTCCCAGTGCCACCACTCACAGGCTGGGTGACACTGGGCAAGTTCCTTAACCTCTCTGAGCTGCAGATTCCCCAGCTGAAAAGTAGACCTGATAGTCGTGGCTTCCTCCTAGAGTCAGCATGAGAGAAGGGTAGGAAAAGCTAACAGGCAGTAGTAAATGCTAGTATTATTATCATCATCATCACTTAGGTTACTGTCTATCATCACAGCCTTCCCGCATCTGTTTGTCCATCCAAAAGGTTCACTGAGGCCATTCACTCAGTGGGTGAGAGCCCTTCCACCATGTTCTGGGCGGGCCCTGAGAGGTTGAGGGAAAGGGGAACAATCGGCCCCACAGGACCCAGGCCCATCCTTGCCTTCCCACCCCCGTCCCCCAGGCTCTCAGTCCAGAGGGGAGGAGAAACATTTCTGCGGAAAAACTCAAAGGTTCGGAGGGTGGACACTCGTAGGCTTCCACCCTGCGGGCCCCAGCTGGGCTGTGCGCCGAGCAGGCAGCGGTTGGCTAAAGTTTTCAAACAACGTGGAAGGCCCCTAGTGTCCCCGAGAGCCACTGACCACACGTCCTGCCGCCTGGAGGAAGGACTCGTAGATGAGAGGGGGATGTCCCGATGCCCCCAGCTCCAGGTCCTCACCGGCCAGGAGAGCTGGCTGTCACAAGTAGCAAAAACACCCTGATGGAGCCTGAGGGACCAGAGCTGGGCTGTCCACCCCGAGGCAGGAAGATTGGCCGAGTGGACCCCCAAGACACCTCCCTTGCTGGACACCACCTCTGTCTCCCAGGGCCCAGGGCAGGGTCCTGTGTGAGCAGGGGCTGGGGCCACACTGCAGCTGCAGAGATGCACTTGTTGGGCCTGGCTGGTGACACGTTCTTGGCCAGGCGGAGGGACATCTGGTCAGCGAGGGAGGTCCCTTCTCCCAGCAGGGAGCCCTGGCCAGGCCTAAACTCAGCTTCATATTTGAAGGCAGTGGGGGAAGCCAGAGTCATTTTGCAGTAGGGGTTCGACGGAGTCAGGCAGGCAGTCCAGGAACAGCCAGATACTGGGGACTGGACTGGGCGCTGTGAATAAAGCTGACTAGGGCCTCCTTCCTGTCCCCATCTCTCTGCTCAGCCTTGTGCTAGGCCCCTGAACCCACCCCTGAGTCCCCAGCAACTCTCCGTTTGGGTCATGTGGCCCGATACCACTCAGCGGGATGAGGGTGGGCAAGAGGCAGGGCATCTGGGGCAAGGACAGTGGATTCTGCCTGGATGAATCCAGGCACACTTCTGGAGGCTGTGGCCCCAGGGCTGGCTGTTTGGCAGGCAGGAGAGAAGGAAAGCGTTTGAGGCAGAAGACGTGCCAAGCAGAGGAGCAGAGAGATGAGGTGGAGTGGAAAGAACATGGGGTCTTGTAAGGGATGACCTGGGAAGGTAAACAGGGCCTTGAATGCCGCACTAAAGGAGATTGATTTCACCTGTGGGCAGTGGGCGCCATGGAAAGGTACTGAGCGGGGAAGTGACACAGGTCTTTTTGGGAAAGATCTGTGAGTGTGGCATTATGGCAGGAGGCTTGGAGGGGGTGAGTCTGACCCTCTGCTTCTGCCCACAGCTGTGCGTGCTGACCGCATGCGGGGTGGCCGGAACAAGTTTGGGCCCATGTACAAACGGGACCGAGCCCTGAAGCAGCAGAAGAAGGCACAGATTCGAGCCAATGGCTTCAAGCTGGAGACAGGCCCTCCGATGGGGGTGCCCCCCCCACCCCCACCCCCACCGGACTACATGCTGCCCCCTGGCCTACATGCACCTGAGCCCAAGGGCCTGGCCTCTGGTCCGCCTGCTGGGCCTCTGGGCGACTTTGGGGCCCCAGCACTGCCCATGGCCGTGCCCAGCGCCCACGGGCCACTGGCTGGCTACCTCTATCCCACCTTCCCTGGCCGTGCCATCAAGTCTGAGTACCCAGAGCCCTATGCCAGTCCCCCGCAGCCTGGGCCACCCTATGGCTACCCAGAGCCCTTCTCCGGAGGGCCTGGTGTGCCCGAGCTCATCCTGCAGCTGCTGCAGCTAGAGCCGGACGAGGACCAGGTTCGGGCCCGCATCGTGGGCTGCCTGCAGGAGCCAGCCAAGGGCCGCCCCGACCAGCCCGCAGCCTTCAGCCTCCTGTGCAGGATGGCTGACCAGACCTTCATCTCCATCGTGGACTGGGCACGCAGGTGCATGGTCTTCAAGGAGCTGGAGGTGAGTCCCTCCCCCTGCCTGGCGGGCCGCTGGGGTGTTCTCTCGGCTGCCCGAGCCTCAGTCTCAGTTACCCCTTGGATGGAGCAGTCCCGCCCACTGGCTTCGGGCAGTATCTGGGCACAGGGAAGCCCCGCTGGGGACCCTGACGAGTGTCTCTGGTCCATCACAGCCATTCTCACCCCTCCTGCCCTCTTTCCTTCTCTGTTTCTTGAGTCTGTATCTCAAGACTCTGCTTCTTTTGTCTCTGCTTCTGTCTCTTTCTGTTGCCTTTCTCTCCCTGGTGTGCTATCTCTCTGGGTCTCTGTTTCTCATCTGGTCAGGGTCTCTGTAGGCATTTATCTCTCTTCCTCTGAGACCCTGAGCTCAGTCCACAAGGGGAGACAACGTCTCCTGGCCTCCCAGCCTTAAATGTCATAGATGCGGGCCTTCGTATCTCAGACTTTGGGGTGCTTGTGGACATTCTCCTTCCCAGCTAAGGTGAAAGGTCTTGCTGTCCCTGCATCTCTTGTGCATGATGGGTGGTCCCACGAGTGGGTGTCTGTGTGTGCAGGGGGACCCGGGGAGGGGGTGCAGATTGCAGGACCCATCACTGATCTGCCTATAGAGGAGACCGCCTTCCTTTTCCGCAAGGCTTTCCTTCCCCTGGTTTGGAGTGCCTGCAGCTACAGCAAGCACGAGAGCAGCCGGAGAAACCGAGGCCAGAAAGGAGAGAACTTCCCAGTTATCCTGCCTGGTGGTCTGAAGGGCCCAAGGCCTGGGAGCTGCCCCTCTAGTGCCCTGGCTCCCTGCCATCAGGGTGCTCTGGCCACATCAGAGGCCCCTCTAGCCCAGCCAAGGCCCAGCCCTTGGTGGCCTGGGCACAGACACTCTTTAGTCCAGGCCTCTCGGTGTTTGCCTTTCCCAAGCCAGCCCCTCTGGCTGTTCCGCGGCTGGGTGTAAACAGCAGGGTCTGTTGCCCTCTCTGCTGGGGCCACTGTAGCCTTGAGCGGCATTGTCAGTGCTGACGCCTGGGCTTCCTCCAGGGGCATGTGGCCGGATGGGCCGGGGGCACTGCCTGCCTGGGCTGGGCACAGGGTGGAATAAGATAGGAGGTGGGCACTGTGAGCCCTTGAAGCATCATGGGACGAGAGGACTGGGTTACTCTGGGAGTCAAGAGTTGGTGGTGATGATTCTTGCTTCCACAATGGAGGGTCTGGGGATGTGCCATGTATCTGTCATGGAGTGGGGCTTCTCAGCCTTGCCCCTTCTCTAGGCATGAATGGGACAAAACAATCCCATCCGCCTTTCACTCATGGTTGGAGGCCCTGGTTGGGGATGAGGATCCCAGGACCCTTGGGTTGGTTGCCAGCTTCCCTCCAGACTTCCCATGAGCCCCCTGTGCAGAGGGGAGGAGAAGCGGAGCATTCCCAGCTTTCCAGAGCCCTGGATCCAGGGGCAGGGCACTTCCTCTGGCTGCCTTCCTAGTCTCTTGGGGTTTTTCACGCAGGATGGGAAGGGCTTTTGTCCCAGCTTTGCTGAGTGTTTTTTCCTGCTTCTGGCTTCTCTGTGGTCCAAACTTTCCTGCTTCCCCTTCCCAGAATCTCTGAATCGTGCCCGGGAATATGAACCATGGTCACCATCCTCTGTAAAGGAACCTTGAAGATAAGTACCAGCCCAGCCCTTAGAGGGCCTCTCATCAGCCATGTGGAACTTCTTTCCTACTGGTCTGGTGAGCCCAGGCTGGTGTCTGTTTGCAAAGCCAGACGTGGGGAAGCAGAAAAGTGGGAGTGGTGCCAAGTGACCCTGTACTCCCTTTGGGGTGACCATCCCCCTCCCTCCAGGCAGCATACACCTTAGGAGACAGAAGTGGGGAGCTCTCTAGCTCTGAGAGTGGGGCACTGGGGCTGGCACTGGGAACATTGACGTGAACTGGACCCAGGAGGCCTCTGAGCTATTGGAAGAGACAGACATGCACACAGTTGATACCCATGCATCACTCTGAGAGCGATGCAGAGGGGCCATCGGGGCCCAGCAGGAGAGCAAATGGCTCTATCTAAGGAAATCAGAGGTTTCTTTGATCTCTGCCTTTCCAGGAAGCAGTCCGGGAAAGTTGAGGATATTCCAGGAAGGGGGAACAGCATAGAGTAAGGCCTAGGGATGCGAAAAAGCATCACGTGGTAGGGGGTTTCAGCTGGCCCTCTGTGTCCGGAGACATTGGCAGGGTCAGAGGCAGATCTTGGACCAGAAGAGTGGGTGACAGCCTGCCAGAGCTGGCTGGGGCCCCACATCCTGGGGCAGGGAGGGCTCCTAGCACAGAGCCTGAGCTCTCCCTGGAGGCCACTCAGCCCTCTATGATGCTGATAGCATCTCGCTGCCCAGGGGAAGGCTTGGGGTCTTTGCCCAGCTGGCAGGGATGCTGCCGCGTGAATGCCCTCTTGGGCTTCTCATCCCTCCTCTTTCTCAGCTTAGATGTCCCTCGGTCTTTATTTCCCATTTCACACAATTGTGGCATGTTAGATCCGACAGCGGCCCCGAAGTTAATAACAGAGACCAGAATCAGAGAAGCCTATGTTGGAGTTCCAGCTCTGTCAGCCCCGCCCCTTACCACAGGTGTGACTTTGGGTAGGTGACCACTCCTCTGGGCCTCAGTTTCCTTATCTATAAAATAAGGGGAGTTGAAATATCATCTGCTGCATAGGGCGGTGGTTGTAAGGATTCAGTGAACCAGGACAGGTAAAGATTTCCCACGGGGCGCAGCACACGGGAGTGGTTGGTTAGCAGGAGCAGAAGGCCCCGGCCCTTCTGTCCCCTCTGCTGCTGTCCCGTGTAATCTATACTCGCAGGAGGCGTGAGAAGGGAGAGACTGTACCCACGCTCCTCTCAGCACTAGCGTTCCTCCGGGAGGAGATGGGGCCCCGCCTTGCCCTGGGCTTACGAGGCACCTTTGTACGATGCAAGGTAGCAGAAACACCTGTATCCGCTGCCCAGCGGAGGACAGTGTGTAGGCCCGGGCACTCGGCCTCTCTGGACAGTTCCCGGGAAAGACAGGCTGGGAGGATGCAAGATAGGAATCAGGGAGGGGGAGGTGAGGGCCAAGACTGCCTAATGACCCATCTTGACATCACTTCACCCCTCAACATCCAGCTCGGAGGCCCCCGATTGGCAACAGATTTAACGGCTCAGATATATGGTTTCATTTAAACAGCAGTAACTCTGTCAGTCCCGGGCTGACAAACGACGGCCTGCCGACCACGCGGCCGGGAGAGCGCCATGGCTGGCCCGTGGCGTGTCAGCCACCGGAGAATTACAGAGCCCGCTGGCCTTCGGCTGCCAGACTGATCAGACCCCAGGGGGCTGCAGAGGGGGCCTGCTGGGAGGGAGGTCAGCTCGGCACCCATAAATACCCCTTCTCCAGGGCAGGCTGCAAAGTGTCAAGGCTCCAGGAAGATTTATGGCAGACCAGCAGAAGGGGTGGGCGGCTGGTAGGCTGAGCAGACAGGCCGGGCCGAGGAGGGACCCCAGGGCTGGGCCTGCAAATGTCCTTGTTCCCAGGGTAGCAGGGAGATCTGAGGGCAGAGGAGGAACCTTTGCTTAGGGAGAAAGCTAAGGAAGGTGAAAACCACCCTCTTTGGTTAAGTGAGCCTCTTAGCCACCTGCTGTCCTGTGGAGAGGGGCTGGCAGCTACAGCTTCTGATTTTCTTTTAAATAAAGAGAAGTGTGTGTCTGTGTGTGTGTGCACGCGCGCGCGCTCGCGCGTGTGCATGCGCACGCGTGTATTCATCATCTTCGCAGGCAGCAATTTGGAGTTTGGTGTCTTTATGTGTCCATCTGTCCATCTAGAGGAAGAACAAGTGAAAAGTCCATTTGGCTGGGGGTAGATGGGACCCCAGGCCGGGGTAGCATCCACAGGAGTGCCAACCGTGGGTCCACAGAGCCCTTCACCACTGACACCCCTGTGCTCATATGTTTTCTCTAAGCGAAAGAGGGAGGATTTTATTTTTCCAATTTCCCAGAACAGAAAATTAGGGCAGAGTTAGATAAGTGGCTCAGTTGGGAATCAAACAGAGGGCACAGGGCACCAAAGCTTAGCCACCATATTGCATCTCTCTGCCCTGTGCCCGCCCCCCATCAGCCCTGTGTGCAGGGCTGCCCCCACTCCCGGGGTCTGAGGTCTGGGTACAGAGTCTGCTCCCAGGGCTTGGCCAGCCGGGTCACTCTGACCCCTCTTGCTTTCTGCCCGAAGCTCAGCCTGCTTATCTCCTAATTCTCCCCCTTATCTCTCACTCTTCCACCCCCCCACCCCCTCCCTATTCCTTCAAGCCAGGCAAAGGGGCCCCGATGGGGGGGGTGGGGGTGGGGGCGCAAGCCCAGCCCTGCATGCCCTCCCTCTCACTCTGCCTCCAACTGGGTCGTCCAAGGTAGGCCAGTTGACCCCCCGGCCAGTTGACCCCCGGCAGGCACCTTCTGCTAGGGGCTCAGGGCCTCCTGGGGACCTCCAGAAGACCAGCCCAGTCAGGGGTGTCTGGACAGAGCCCAGATCCCTGTGGTTCCTTTAGGCAAGCCACTGTCTCCTTATCTGTAACACGGACAGAATGGTGATAGGACAGGGGTGAGGAGTCGGGGTGTGCTGGGAACGGGCCTGGCAGCAGGTGCTCCCCGAGCCTTGCCTCCCCCCTTGGAAACTGGTGGGGAACCAGTCCTGTCAGTGGTTCTCTGGGGATTGGCCATTTCCTGAGGAGAGATAGGAGAGATGTCTCTGTGATTCGGCCCTGCCAGGGTCTCAGTCTCTCCCAGCCTCTCCAGTCCAGGGCCAGGGGTGGCTGAGATCTGGGGCCCCCGCCTGGGCTCCTTGCTCTGATGGTACTGGGGGGTCTAGGAAGCACTTCCTGCCGGGAGAGGAAGGAAGAGGTGTGTGGGTTCCTGACACAGAGATGAAGTGAGCAAGGGAATGTGGGGGCCTGGTGACTCAGGGCGGGACAGAGACAGGCCATCCCTCTCGTTCTCAGCACGTGGGATCAGGCAGGCGAGGCTGAAGGGAGCCTGACTGCGTGTCCAGCTGCTCCCCTACCCTGCCTGCACTTGTTCTTGCCCTCCGTCGGCCAGAGAACAGGCCCCAGGCAGCCCCCAGGAGGGGGCGGGGACAGAGGGATGGAGAGGGGGGCTTCTACCCCTCACAAGTGAGAGCCATTCATGAGGCATTGCCAGTTCCCCTCAGGCCAGGGGCCGCCTGGGTCTCTCTGGCCCCTGAGTTGGGGGGAGGGCGTTCCTCTGTGCTCTCCGTGCCTGTCTTGGGAGCACATATCTGTGTATCAGCTGCTCACCGACCCCTCCTCCGGGAGGCCAGAGATGAGCCGGACACCCGCCCTGCCTTCCCAGACCCCATAGGTATTGGGGAAGACAGAGGCATGAATTGATGCCATCAAATGTTGCAGGTGCGACGTCCAGTGGACAGGATTGGGGAGAGCTTCACAGGGAGGCAACAAGTGGGCCGTGAGCTCCTAGGTGGCCAGCGTGGCTCTTCTTCCATACCTGGTGGTTTAGAGCACGGACCTGGAGCCAGACAGAGCAGTGTGACCCTGGGCGAGTTGCTTGACCGCTCTGGGTGTCCTTTCTCCATAGATTGGGGATAACAGCTATACCAGCCTCCTAGCCTCACGGAGCTGTGGCACAATGACCAGCAGCTGTCACAGTCTGCATTCATCACAGGGCAGGGCCCGGGAGGGTGCCCAGGAAGTGCTTGCCAGGTAGCTGGTGGAGGGCTAATGAGCCGCAGATGCTGAGGGGCACTGGCGTCAGTGCTGTGTCTTCCTCGGGTGACCGCCGTGCCCCTGCAGGTCTACACACCCAGGAGAGCTCAGGATTTTGTCACTGTAGAGGGTTGTGGACTGAGAAGACCAGCCATGGCTCTGGCCCGGTTCTAGCTCTCTCCCGGGAGAGTCCCTCACCTTCTCGGAGTGGCAGATTTTCATCTAAAAAATACAGATTTTGGCCTGGGGATCCCTGAGGGCCTGTCTGGCTCTGGTGTCCGGTGGTTCTGAGTCCCAATGGCCATTGTCACAAGTGCCCTTTCTTGCCGTGCTAGAATGTAGTGACCCTCCAGGGTGGAAGGATACCCCACACAGAGGCAGCCCTTGCCCTTGCGCTGGGTGCCCGACTGCATCCTGAGTGTTTGGAATCTGCCTCGTTGTATTTCTGTTCCTGCTTCAGACGGACCATTGCCAGCCAACCGCTCATTCCAGGCTGGATGTTGGGACAGAAGGGTGCTCCCTTCTTCTCACAAGCCTGAAAGCTGTGCGTAAGGCCCAGGAGGGGCCCTCTGTTTTCTCTTCATGGCTTGTTTTTTGAGCTAGTGAGGCTGCTAGAGATGCGACCACAGGCCAAATGGGCACAAGGTTGAAATTAATCATCTCCCCTCACATTTGAAGGGGACACCTTCACAAACTACTTCCATGAACATGATTCACTAATACTTACTGAGTACTTAACGTGTGCCGAACCACCTTCTGATACTGTGCCCACTTTACAGATGAGAAAGCAGAGGCTCAGAAGGCTGTAGAATTTGCTTAAGGTCATGCAACTTGTAGGAGCACAGTCAGGGCCCGAAGCCCGGCCTGTCTGAGCTCTGAGCACCCCCGTTGGACCTTGGTTTTGGTTTGTTTTGCTAGAACTCTGTCACGCTTTGATGAAGTAGGCAGCTAGGCACAAAGGGCACAGACAGGTTAAGTAAGCGGCTTGCCCAGGTCCCATACCCAAGTGAGCCTCCGAATTGAGACTGGGAGAGGGATGGGGGAGGGGAAGGTCCCTGGCAGGGCCTGGCTGGAGGTCAGGTCTGCACCTCTTCCCTCCAGGTGGCCGACCAGATGACACTGCTGCAGAACTGCTGGAGCGAGCTGCTGGTATTCGACCACATCTACCGCCAGATTCAGCACGGCAAGGAAGGCAGCATCCTGCTGGTCACCGGGCAGGAGGTGACGAGACCCTACTGTGCCCCGCACCAGGCCCTCATGTGCACTCCCAGAATTCTGAGCCCGAAAGAGATCCTAGGCCTCTCCAGGGCTGGCCCTGGGCACCTGAAACGTCAGCCCTTTCCCCTAGTTCATGCTCCATCTCTCTCCACCCTGCCCTGGCTTTGGCCTTGACAGGAGGCAGCCCCTGGGAAGCATCCCAGGGATGTGGGGAGGTCAGGGAGGAGGTGATGGGAGAACACATAAGGGTTGGTCAGGTAGTAAAAGGTTGGGGGGGGGGTCAGTCTCACCCACCCCACAGCAGAGGGGACAGCATGGGCAGAGGTGCGCAGGGGGACGTTTAGAACTGCTGAGCCACCAGGGGCTGCCAGTATGTGGGTGTGTGGGTGGGTGGGGGGGCCGGGAGCCCGGTGGGGGGGGGGGGTAAAGTGAGAGGTCAGGCTGGAGGGGTTGCTGGGGGCTGGGTTGGGCAAGACCTTGCAGGGCCTAAATCCTGAGTAAACGAAGGAAGGGGCAAAGGAATTTGCCTCTCTGCCCAGAGCAAGGAATTAGGGGCACCAGGACGCGAGCTGCAAACTCCTGAGGTTTTCAATCAAGGAAGGGCTTGTCCAGGTTGTTAATGAGGAAGCGCAGGGAGAGGGCATGATGGGGTGGCGTCGGGGCCACTGTGGAATGCTGGGGACCTGGGAGAGGACAGTGCAAGGAGGAAGACCCCAACTGGTGGGGGAGGAGGTGTGAGGGAAGTGGAGAGAAGGAGGGAGAAAAAGAAGAGAGACTAAGGCCTGCGCCTGGGCTGGTGGAGGGAGCATCAGTCCTGAGGGGCTACAGGAGCAAGTGTGGGCTGACAGGCCCGCAGGGGTGGGGGTGGAGGCTGAGGCCCTGCTCCCCCACCCCTATCTCTTAACCCAGGCCCGTAGTCCACGTGCTCAGTTCTTACCCTGAGTGTCTCAGGGCATCCGGGGCCAGGGAGTGCTGGTCCAAGGGTGTGACCTGGAGGTCACCTGCGAACACATATAGCAGAGCCTGAGGTGTGAGTGTATTGGCCCGTGTCGGCATGTGGCCGGAAGCGTCTGAAGGCCACGGGGACGTCCAAGTGTGCGTGTGTGTGCGCATGCGTGCCTGTATTTTATTGTACAAATATCTCCACACAGGTAAGAGTGTGGTTGCTGAGATCTGCCTGTCAGCATGTCAGTGGAGACTCATAGACGGACACCCGTCTGCGTGTTACCTTGTGAGGTGGCCATACAAGGGCATGTGTGTGTGCATCTTCCCTTCATGAAGTGGGTGGACCGCCTGGCACTGTGTCCTTGCGTGCGTGCGTGCGTGTATGTGTGTGTGGGTGAGCGTGAGCTGAGGTGTGACCCCATCCCCAGAACGGGTGTCCACGTGTGGCCGTGTAGAGGCCACGGCAGTCATGTGACCGGACCCACGTGCGTCCAGACAGACGCGCCCCGCCCCTGCCCCATGCCTGGCCGGCCACGCGGCGCAGTTCGCTGCAGATACCGCACAAAACACAGAAGCCGCTTGTACCACAGGCCTGGTGGCAGCTCTCTGTGTGTGAAGGACCCAGGACCCTCAGTTGTGCCCCTACCCCCGCCTGCCCCGTGTTGGCTCCGCTGTCTCGGGGCCTCAGCTCCGCCCGGCAGTGTGGGAAGAGCTGGGAAAGCTGGGCCCGGGGCTGTGGGACGTGGGGGCTCCCGGGGCTCCAGGAGAGGCTGGCCCCACCAGGCTCAGCGTCAAGGATGGGCGCACCTGCCCCTCCCACGCCGCCTCCCGTCTGCACACCCCTCCCCCACTGCCGCCCGCGGTCCTCGAACCCAAGACCGGCCCGCGCCTGCTGACGCTGCTGCCGTCTGCCCGCCCAGGTGGAGCTGACGGCGGTGGCCGCCCAGGCGGGCTCCCTGCTGCACAGCCTGGTGCTGCGGGCACAGGAGCTGGTGCTGCAGTTGCACGCGCTGCAGCTGGACCGCCAGGAGTTCGTCTGCCTCAAGTTTCTCATCCTCTTCAGCCTCGGTGAGTAGGCCCGGCCCCAGGGGCGGCGCGGGGCGCGGGGGGCGGGGTTGCGGACCAGGCGTCCAGAGGCCTCGGTGGGGCATGGACCCCCTCCCCCCCTTCGTGAATAAGGCTATGAAGGGACCTGGCCCTGGGGCCAGGGGTTGTTTTTCTCCGGGCCTCAGTTTCTCTGTGTGGAAGTTCGGGGGACCAAGACAGTGGCTAAGATTTGCCCATTGTGGGACAGGGACTCCTTCTGAGAATTCGGGAAAGTCCTGCCTGGCTGCCCTGGGAAGGTGCCCATCCCTCCTCCAGGAAACGCCTGTGCAGTTTCAGGAGCTTCTGTTTCCTGGCTGCCACCCAGGAGTCCCTGTTTTCCAGGATTCCCTGCTCTAGGGGGCGGGGGGGGGTCCACGTTCTGGCTCTGGGTTTCTTGGGGCCCAGACGCTTTGCCCACTCATTCATTCATTCATTCATTCACTCATTCATTTATTCATTCTATGAACAGTTGCTGACCTTCCGCACTCTGTAAGTCACTGGGGACATGGGGTGAACAAAAAAGACCCCAAATCTGTATTGTGGAGCTGGCCTTCTCCTGGGGGAGAGACAATAAGATAATGTGATTAGTGAGACACAGAAATGACTGAAACGATTAGTAAAACGTTATCGCCTGGAAGACTGTGGTCAGTGCTAAGGAGGGACATAGAGCAGGGAAGTGGCAGAGGGAGAGCCCACCCACCAGACCTACTCCCCAAGTCAGGCACCTCCCTCTCCCTGCCTTCTGGACCCTCCCAGCCTCCACCCTCCCCTGGGCTCTCCTCAGGCTGGCTTCGTCCTCCTTCACCTAGCAAGTCATTTCCAGCACCTTCCCCCGTGTTCAGAAATGCTGTCAACACAGACATGTTCTTGCTGTCAGGTGGCTCCCAGTCCAGGAGAGGCCTCCTGCTAGCACTGTCACTGTGAGGATGGGGACAGACATATGGGGAACCCAGGGTGGGGAGCAAGGGCCCTGCCTGGAAGGCTTTCTGGAAGAGGGACATCTGAGCTGGGTCTTAGAGGATGAGTAGGAGTTCACTGGAAGGATAAATCGGCAGATGTGCAGATGGGATGGAAGGTCAGAACAGAGCGGGGTGAATGCCTTGTCACTGGGGAAAGGGGCAGGATTCAGATGCCATTTTTGTGGCAGATGACATCAGCCTCGGTTGGTGAGGGAGGGCCTGCTCAAGAGTGGGTGGGGGGAGTTGGGGAAGCAAAAGGGAAGGGGCCAGCTGGGTGGGGGGCGGTGACTAATGAAGTGTTGACTGTGGGCAGCTCAGGCTGTGGCCATGCGGCTGGGTGCCTGGCCTGGGCTCCCGACTCCAGCACAGCAGGCTGGTAGCTGGAAGGCTTACTGTAAGGCTGCAGAGGTTGGTAGCGGGTAGAAGACGGCCAAGCTGCGGGGTAGGGACAGAATCTTGGGCAGCCAGTTAGGAGCTGGGGCCTGGAGCCCTTGCGGGTCCTCAGGAGCCCGAGCCAGGCTGGCTTCAGCTGGGGCAAGCCCCACCTTCCTCCCCACAGGGGTACCCACTTCCCACCCTCGTCTTTGTGAGCTGCCAGGCTCTGGGAGCCGGCTCGGCCAAAGCCACGGTTGCGTGTGGCTGGGGGTGTGGAGACCCCAGGAAGGATGTGCATGGTGGTGCCTTTGCTTCTGTATCTTTGTTTTCACACGTGTGCAGACTACGAACTTTCACAGGCTTGCGGATTTTTACAGGTCACGTTGTATAAAGAACCTGTAATTGACGAGTGATGGGAGATTGGAGGCAAGAGAGATTTGGGGATCTATGGCGGTTTGGGGGGGTTTGTGGGGTGACAGTTCTTTACGTGACCATCCAGAGGTCCCCGGGAGGTCCAGAGGAGGGGTGGGTGGAAGGTGGGTTGCCAGCCACCAGTCTCCTGGGCCAGGCCTTCCCTGGGGCAGGGAGGGCACCACGTCTTGAGCCTGAGGCACACTGGTGCAGTCCCCGCAGCCCTAACAAAGCCCTGGGTGCTGGGGACTGCCAGGCGATAAATGGAGGCCTCCTCTCGTATGGGGTGTGAGGACAGCAAAGCTGAGCCCAGTCTTTTTTTCCCGGGTCCAGGTGAGTGGCCATGTTCAGAAGCGTGAGTGCTGGCCCTTCCTTCTTCCAGCCTCCATCCTGCTTTCCAGAGGTCGCTAAGGCCTGGGAGACAGGGACGTCTGCAGGGCTTGGCTGGCCTAGGCTGGAGGGGCTGGACTCGGGCAAGAGTGTGTGCGTGCATGTGTGCACGTGTGCGCATGTGCGAGGCAGGGGACTGGGGACCAACCACCTGGATTCTAAATCTGGACTCTGGCCGTGTGCCCTTGAGCAATCTCCCCTCTCTGAGCTTCTATTTTTCCCATCTGTGAGATGACCATCATAATAATCCTTAATTTGCCATGAGGATTTAATGAGGGGAATCTCCCCAAGCACTCAGTGGCCCTTTGGAATATGTGGGTATTGTTTTCTTTCTAACCACCATTACTGTGAGTGAGCAAATGAACAAAGGAATGACTGAAGTGACGAATGAAGGAGTCAGTCTCCATCTTTATTGCACGCTGTGTCTGGGACACAGCGCCTTGTCACAGGCATAAGGCCCGGCTGAGGTGGGTGGGGGAGCGCCCAGCCCAGCAGGTCAGAAACTAACTCCAGTGAGGCTGAGCCTGGGGTGGGCGCCTGGGCCTGCCTGAGCTCCTGGGGGAGCAGTGGGACAGGAGGCCGGGTAAGCCACAGAGGCTGTTGGTTGACAGTTTCCAGGTTCTAGGAGGAGCCCGAGCAGTCCAGTGTGATCAGGGTTGGGCCAGAGAACAGAAATCAACCCCACCTAAGATATCCAGGAAGGCTTCTTGGAGGAGGGGCCTCTGAGCTGGGTCTTGCCATATGAGCAGGAGTGTTCTAGGTGAAACAAAGCAAGCAGCAGCAAGGGCATTCCGGACGGAAGCCAGAGCTTGTGCAAAGGGACGGGGAATCCTGAAAGTTTGGTGTGGCTGTGGGCCAGGGAGAGGGTAGAGAGGAGGCTGGGGGTTGCGCAGGGACTGAGCTGTGCGAGGCCTCCAATGCCAGGCCAAGTACCTTGACCCTTACCTTGGGAAGGCTTCTCAGCTAAAGTAACATGATCACATTTGCATTTTAGCAAGGTCCTTCCAGCTACGGCCTGGGAGAGGGATGCCAGGTGGCGGCTCGGAGCCCTGCGAGAGGCTAGACGCACGGCTGGAGCGAAGGGGACAAGTTAGGGCAAGAGGAGGGGGAATATTGGCTCAGAGTCTGGAAGGTGGGAGGGGGCTTCCCCCCTGTTACCCCCACCACCCCCACCCTTGTCCTTACCCCAGACCATCAGGAATAGGTCCCCAAGGGAACTGGAGCCCAGAGAGGGATGGCCACTTGCCCGCAGACCTCCAGCTGGCGTGCGGGGCGTCACCCTTGGGGCGGTGGCTCCCTGGGCTGGGCAGCCCGAGCCCGGTTCCCCCACCACACCCCGCCTCCAGCCCACTCAGCGCCTCCTTCCCGCCTGCCTCCGCACAAGGGTGCCATTTGGCGTCTAAATAGCCGTCTCCCTGCAGGCGTGGAGGCAGGTAAGGAGGTTTAATTAAAATTAGTGCCTCTCTCCTGGCGATCGTGGTGTTTATGAAGATGGGCCCGGCTGGCATTGTTCCGCAGAGGACTTAATCGAAGCTTAATGGATTGACCTAACATTCGATTTCCTGACTTCCATTGAGGCTGCGGCAACAGCGTTCCCTCAAGCGTTTGCAATTTCCCCACTGCTCCGCGCCAACAAAAGGCGGCCTGAATAGCAGCCCCACTCGAGGGGCCATTGTGCGCGGGGGCGCCTGCCTGAGTCACCGCGATTGGGACAACATTCTTTATGCCTCGCAGGAATGAAAGGATTATTCAAATATTCAATTAAACCGTGAAAAGGGGGCTTTTCTGAGAACCCGGGGCCCCCAGCTCCGCAGAGCTATAGCTGGCTGCTCTCTGAAGCGAGGGAGGAGTGGGGGGGGCATTTCCCAGCCCCCTCCCGCCTCCCCCCTCCCCGCCTCTGGGATCGCTGGAGGGGCAGGCTGGGGGGGGACACGCCAGGCTTTTCTCCCACGTGCCCGTCTCCAACCTGCGGCGTCCTGGGGCCCAGAGCTGGCACACGGATGAGGTCTGGTTCCGGGGCACCCTGTGAGGCAGAGATTGGTTTGGCCCCATTTTGCAGATGACAAGGAAACTGAGCTCAGGGGAAGGGCCTTGCGCAAGGTCACTGGGCTGGTGGTGGAGCTGGGATTGGAACCCTGGTTAAGGGGGCATCTCCAGGTGTATGTAAATTGCCCCCCCACCCCCCGCTCCTGTGTCCAGTGGAAGAAAGGCATGGTGTTCAGTGGGGTGGTGGCTCTTTCACACACATCATCCTGCAAGGGCTTCACAGCAGTCCCTTTAGATGGAGGCATGGAGAGGTGGGAGAAGGGACATGACTTGACAATGGTCCCCTCCAGAATGAGGAGGAAGGTGAGTCTGGACTCCAGAGTAGACCCTCTGGGGAAACCTAGGATCCCAGGGATGGGGGCCCTTGGCCGGGACCCCTGGACTGGATGGGATGTAAAGTTTTCACATCCAGTCTCTCAGGAACCCATGTCCAAGCTTGACTCCGCCTGTGCTTACCCACTGGACTTTGGGGCCAGCAGAGCTGGGTTTGAATCCAGACTCCGGCATCTACTGGGTGTCCCAGGCACAGCCCACCGTCCCTGTGCCTAGGGGATGCCCTTTCCTGCCTGCCTGGGTGTCTGTGGGGGCTAACTGAGCTAATGCACGGTGCCCAGCGGGCGCCTGGGAAACCGAATGCACTTATTCTGTAGTCATTGGGGCTCAACTGGTGACTGCTTCCCTCCCCCAGCCCCACAGCCCACCACATGGGGGCTGTGGGGGTGTCCAGTCTGCAGAGAGCTGGGAGACCCATCGAACTGTGAGGAATGGGGCTGTCCTCGAGGGCTGTCCTTGTCCCCTGCACTCCACCTCATTGTCCCTGGTCCAGAGCTGCGGAGAACAGTAAATCCTGGTAAAGCCAAGGCTCTGGTCCTCCCGGCCCCCTCCCACTGCAGACTCTACAGCAGAGTCCTAGCCCCTCCTCCTCCACCCCCAGCTGTTTCCTCTGGGCTCCCTTACTGCTGTGTGGCCTTGAGCTGGTCTCTACTCTTCTCTGGACCCCCAGGCTCCTACTGCGAATTGATAGAAGACAATGTCAGGAGAATTGCTAAACCTCTGGAGTGGTGGGAGGCGAAGATAGACAGGACCCTATGGAATGAAAAGAGTTGGGATAGAGATGGGACCAGTAGTCACCTCTTGTGCCTAGGAGGTCAGCTTTGGAGAGAGTGGGGGCTTCCCATGACCTTTGAGTGTGTCTGGAGTAGTCCAGGCTAAGGAGCAGGGCTGCAATGTACAGTTATACAGGCTGTTCATTGCACAAGGCCACCTAGGCAAGGGTTGAATAGGGGCTGAAATCCAGCTTGTATGTCACTTGCCATATTGTCTCTGTGGATAAAGGGGAATTTCTTCGTAATAGGCACAGGGACGCCTTATGGGCTAATGGCGATCCTGGGGGCACAAGGAAGAAAATGACTGTGGCTCACTTAGTGAAGAGAGATGAGGGGGCCAGGGGTGGGGGTGGAGGACTGGGGCCAGATCCTGCCATACGCCTTGGGCCCAGCTCGGGTTTCCCTAAATCCTACTTTGGACAACATAGGCCTCAGTGGGCACACTGGGGGCGGCTGGGGATCAGGGTTGCCAGGAGGACCAGGCCCTCCTGGCGCAGTGGGTGTTAAGAGGGATTAGAAGGGCCAAGGTCTGCACACGCTGGGCTCCCGACTCCCCCGCAGCGGTAGGGCTGCTAGTCGTGGGCGCAGAGGGGAAGCGGATGGACGACCATTCTCTGAGCCACTGGACGCCACATCCCAGGCAAGGCCCTGCCGGATTTGGGGAGGGGGGACCAAGTCTGTGGGATCCCTGCTGAACCTCACCCACTAGGCAGGTCACCAGCTGAAGGTGCTGCCCAGGAGCTGAAAGAGGCCTGCCAAGCAGTGATGCGACTCGAGAGACAAGAAATTGACCCTGTCTGGGTGCCCCTGGGGGCCCAGGCACCTGTGCAGGCCCCCACGCCCAAGCCCCCGCCCCTGCAAGGTCAGCACGCCCCTTTTGTAGAGAAAGAAGACCTTGCAGGCCAGGAGGGGACGGGGCACAAAGCCACTGCTCCTAAATGGTGGGGCTGGGATTTGAACCCCCATCAGCCTCACTCCAAAGACATTTTATTTTTCGTGTCTTCACGGGATCTCCACTGGATGTAGAGGAGGAATTGGTCACACTCCTCTGTCCCCGGCACAAGTGATCACTGGGCCACGCAGAGCTGACTGCCCTCCTGTCCCTCCCACAGGCAACCTTGCCTTCACATTTAACGTGGATTCCTTGCTTTGTCCCTGTTCTTACATAATGTGCACACACTGTACGAGCGTTTTTAATTTATGTAGATGGCTTTGCCTTGTAGGTCTTATTCTGAATCTCCTCTGTTTTTTTCCACTTAGCCCTATGCTTTTAAAGATCTGTCCATTTGTTCTGTTATGTCTGCTTCATTCCTTCTAGTGCACAGGACTCCCTGGGGTGCGGCCACCACACAGCCATCAGGGCCACCTCCATGAAGGCTGCTGCAGTGAACGTCCATGGCCCCCATGGCCCCATGAGAGAATCTCTTTGGGGTTCTGGAGCCTCTTGATAGGGCCCCCAGCGTATGTGCCTGGAGGCTGGGAGATGGGGTCCCTGCAATCACAGTGTGCCTCTCTGGTGATGGTGGCCACAGTGGGGATGATGGCCAAAGGATGGTTTTGACCTGGGGATGGGGATGGTGTTGATCAGGGTTGGGTGAGAATAGAGACAGCAATGGTAACAAATTGGCCTTGTTACGTGCCAGACACTTCTCCAAGCACTTTCCACCTATCAAGTCCCCGAATTCTCCCAACAGCACTGTGAGCTCGGTACTATTGTCACCCACCGCTCTGCAGGAAATTGAGAAGTTGCATAACATGCCCAGAGAGACGGCTGGTGAGGTTGGTGTGGTTTTGGAGACCATGGAGGTGTTCATCACCACCACTGTGATGATGAAAGTGGCAGTAATGATGGTGACAGGTGATTGTGGTTGGGTGGGTGATGGTGGCAGCGGCTGTGTTTGTGATAATGACAGAGGTCGGGGCTGGTGACCACCGCCGATGGCGGTATTCTCCGTGGTGATGATGGCAGTGACCGGAATGGCTGCAGTTTGGTTGATGAAGGGCGGCGGCGGCTGCTTTTGGGAGGAAGCTGGGGCTGTCAACATCGGCGACTGATGAAGGTGGCGGTGTCCCTCAGCTGCGACGATGGGAAGACCGCGTCGTTGACGGCGGCAGCGCCCCTGTTTTTGATGCTTGTAGGGGTGCTGGCGCCGGTGTTGCTGGTGCCCGTAGCTGATGTGATGGGCCGGCGACCGTGACAGAGCTCCCCTCTTTGCAGATGTGAAGTTCCTCAACAACCACAGCCTGGTGAAGGATGCTCAGGAGAAGGCCAACGCCGCCTTGCTCGATTACACCCTGTGCCACTACCCGCACTGCGGGGACAAGTTCCAGCAGCTGCTGCTGTGCCTGGTGGAGGTGCGGGCGCTGAGCATGCAGGCCAAGGAGTACCTGTACCACAAGCACCTGGGCAATGAGATGCCCCGCAACAACCTGCTCATTGAGATGCTGCAAGCCAAGCAGACTTGAGCCTGAGCTGCCTGGGGCCGGGCCGGGGCCGGGTGGGGGCCCAGCCACCCCCAGAGCCCTCCAGATGGTTTATTTTATTATGCTGATCCAGGAGCCCCTACCCCGTAAGCCCCCTGCCCCTGGGCTCTCTGAAGCCCTGTGTTTGGGAAGGTGGGTGAGGGTGGACAGGGCCCTGCTGAGGTAGGGCGGCCCCACTGGCATTGCCTGCCACTCCGTGTGTCCCAGGAAGGTGGCTGCTAACCACCCCTCCCCCTCCCCTTGCTCCCAGCTGTCTGTCCAGGATCTGGAGCACAGGTCCAGGGAGGAGGTTCGGGATTCCCTGGCGGGGCTCCATGTCCCTTCCCCCTCTCCGGGAAACAGAGGCAGAGAGAGGTTGAGCGGCATCAACTGGGGGAGAAGAAAGGGTCTCCAGAACCCCCTCCCAGAGACCAGGAAGGAAGCCCTCTGTTCTATAAACTAGGGGTAACTGAGTTTGCAAAATTGGGCAGGCACTGTGGGGCCTAGAAGGCTCCCCGGGGGACGAGTTAGGACAAAGACCTCCTCCCTAGTCCTTCTACCCCATCTGACTTCTGCAGGGGAAACTCTGACATGCTATCTGAAAACAGCTTCACTACAATCGTCTCTCTGCCCCTCTCCCACCAGAGGAGAAGCTTGGCACACTCCACATTCTCCCCCCCGCCCGCCCCCCACAGTTGGCCAGCCCGGGCTGGTATGTATCTGCAAGGCTGTAGTCAAGAGGTTCGTGGGTTTGGGGGGTTTTGTTTTTTCATCCAGATGCTCCTTGAAAGGTGTGTGTGTCCGAGTCAGGGGGACGGAGTTGAAGATTGAGGCTGGGATTTGGGGATTAGCACCAAGTACAGCCCATGGTTTCTCCCCAAACACCCGCATGCCAAGTACCCCTGGGTGGTGCTGGACCACTGTTGCTGAGCCCCCACTTCAATCCGGAGAAGAGCTGTTGCTTGCCCCTCCTTAGATGAACAGCAGGGTGCCCTGTCCGGGGTGGGGGAGGGGGGCGGAGGCGGGGGGAGGTTCCAGAGTCTGTGTGGTGTGGGAATGTGGGTGAACTTGAGGAGGGCGTATGGGTCTCCAGATTGGGGACATCGCTGATAAGCCCCTCCCTCGTTGGCCCCGCCTCCTTGGGGGTCCCTTGCTGCAAACCCTTGAAGCTGGGCCTCTGCCCCCTGGCCTCCTGCCCTTTGTCCTGAAAGACACGGTCCAGGGCCAGGCACTAGGGAGGGGCCTTGGCTGTCCTCTGTCCCGGGGCTGGGCGTCCACTGTCTTTTCTGCTTTCACGTTGCCACTGTAGCTTGTGCTGAGCCTGCCCAGTGGGAGGTGACTGGACATCTGTGCTGCCCCGCCATCCACTGCCCTGTCTCAGTCCCTGCCCCTGCCCACTGTGATGTGTGCCCCTGCCAAGGCCAGAGACCCACAGCCCCCAAAACAAGAAGTGCCCTTAAGAATCTCCCCAGCCCCTGCAGCCCTGGAATAAATTTTGCAATTAGTTTCCATCTTCCTTTGTCTATTTACATTCGGGGCCAAAGTAGAACCTCCCTGGTGGGTGTGGGTGGTCGAGGGGAGGCAACAGTCAGATACCCTTTGGTTCAAAACCTGGGGCCAGAGTTGGGGCACACCAGGCACTTTTGGGGAGCCTTTGGGCTCCACTTCATCCTGGCAAGGGGACCTTGCCATACCCTGGAGGCCTGGGAGATGCTTGGGTCTTCCTGGGTTCCGGCCTCAGTCCCACCGTAGCCGTGCATGTCCACCATCTTGGGCAGATGGGGGCAGTCATCTAATGAGCACCTGCTGTATGCTGTCCCTCATATCCCTGCCCCTACCATAGCCCTGTGAGGTAGGGATTATAATCCAGGAGAAGCAGTTGGTCAGTGACCTGCAGGGGCAGATTCAGACCCAGGTCTTCCCGACTTTGGAGCACTGGCCCTTTCCTTTCCGTCCATCTGAGGCCCCAGGGCTGGTCCCTCTCACTGATTCTTTTGCCCGCCCCCCTCCCCCCTACTGAGCATGGCCAAGACCTGAGGAATGCTTACTCTGCTCTAGACCTTATCCCAGGGCTTCACCAGCTTGGTCTCTCCCTTTTTTGTCCCATCTGCCTCTCAAAGACCCTTCACAGGTGGCAGCTCCAGATTACAGCCGAAGAAACCAAGATACAGAGGGGCAAAGTGACTGGTCTGCGGTCACACGCCAAGAGGGAGTAGAGCCTTCATTCAAACCTCCATTGTCCTGACCAAGCTGACTGCCCCTCCACCCCCCACCCCCCACCCCGGTCCACTTCAGGACTCTGTGGACGTTGGAAAAAGATGCCTGGGCACACAGCTTGGCAGTGGCTTTTATGCAAAGAAAAAGTGTCCCTTTCCCTCCCGGCACTTTCAGAAGGGAGGCAGATGCTCTTGTCTCTGTCTCTGGGAGCATCAGGTCTTGCGGGAAGGGTCTTTTAGTTATTTCATGTTCCTAGGTAATACATTGTGTCATGGGGATACGATGAGGAAGTGAATGATTCTGCCCCTGGGGGGATGGGAAGTCTTCACAGCAGTGCGGTCATCCAAACTGGGTTTCGAAGGTTTTGAAGGTTCACCAGCTAGACAAGAGTTGGGGGCTGTGTGGGCAGAGGCAAGCGTTCACGGAGGGGTTTCAGCCACGGTGTCTGGGACCTAAGCAAAGCTACTCTGGCTGGAGAGTAAAGACAGCGGGTGGTGGGGAGGAAGGGTATGGAGCAGGAAGAGGGGAGACCAGAAAGGACTCCTGGGTGCCCACCCCTGGACCCCTCCTCCTGCCAGTGCATATGATTAGTTGGTGGGGAGGCAGGAACCACCTGGAAGGTGGCAGAGATCGCTGGAAATGCAGGAGGTAGAGACCAAGCTCCTGCCCAATTCAGAGCCACCTTCTGGCTTCCCTGGCACCCCCGCTCCCACACCCGGGCAGAGCTCCCTGTTCTGTGGACCTTCAGCGGTGGTACCCAGCCAGCCCCGCCCCTCCCCCCTGTGGCACTGCTGTGTCTTCCTGGAGCGGGCGGGACCGCCTCTGTCTCCCCCACCCTCTGAGCCCGCTGTCTTCGGTCTCTTTCTCTGCTGGGGGTCTTCAACATCATCTCCTCCAGGCAGCTGGCTCCACGGTCCCATGATCTCCTGCACATCTCTGAGGACAGCTGGCATTCCTGAGTGCCCACAGTGTGCTGGGCCTGGGGACGACCACACAGGACTGCATTTACCCCTCTTGTCACCTGTGGGGTGGGCTGATGTCCCCCATTCTGCAGATGACGGGCTTTGGATGGTTCAACAGCCCCCATGCCCAGAATGAAATAACCAGACCATCCACCTTGCACGGTGGGTCCACCCCCCACCCTGAAAGACAACCCAAGTGGAAGTGGCACAGAAGGTCGTGGAGAGAGCCGGGAGCAACTTGTGCCTCACTGGGTCTCAGGGCTTCTCACGCAGCCCTGCCCCGCCTCCCCTCACCTGTGTCTGGAGTGGCTTCCTGCCTCCTCCAGGGAGGCTGCTCTGATACTCCTTGGCTGTGCCACATCCTCGGGCCCCAGTAGCATGTGAGCCAGGCTGAGGTCCGCAGGGGAGTGTTAGCAGCTGCTGGCCCCCTCCTGCGCCTGGCTTCCACCTCGGGGCCCGCCCTGGCGCTGAGCCCTAATACATCGTCCCTGCTCTGCACCTCGGCCCTGGGACCAGCTCTAGCCACGGCCCCAGGCCACAGAATCAGTCCCACAGCCAGACTCCGAGTCCTCCTGCAAGATGGCCCAGCATACCTGGCGCCGGTCCTGCCTGCCCTGGTGCCTTCTCTGAGCAGTCTGCCTGGGTGACTCCCACTCACAGTGACTGCCCCCCCTCCTGACGTGACCCCTGTGTTACGCAGCCGGGAGACCTTCTCCGGCCTCAGTTTCTTCCTCTGTACAATAGGAGTGATGGTCACGGGGCTGAGGTGAGGACTCATAGCTCTAAGGTGGTCAAGGGCTCAGTACCAGCCAGGTACACAGTAGGTGCTAATAAATGTTGGCTGTTCCTACCCTGTTGATGAAGCTGGGGGCCGTCTTGAGACCAAAAGACAAACTGGCAGCTTCCCTTGTCCCACCTCCTCCCAGGGAGCCTGGCATCCTGTCCCCTCCCCAGGCCAGGGTGACCCCCAGAGAGAAACGGGTCACAACAGTATCCTTTATTAGGAGAGATACCACAGGGCTGTCAGAGCTTTGAGGCAGGTGGGGAGAGTCAGAGGGGTTAACAGTCGGCCAGAAAGTTAGGGGGTCTGAGCTGCGGGGCTCGGCAGGGTTAGCGCAGCACCAGGGCGGGGGTCCTATTGCAAGAAGGGAGCGGCTGAGGCAGAGGCAGAGGCTGCTGTCTGTCCCTGGGGGGCCCCCAGTTGGGCCTTTCAGAGGCTTGGAGTCAAGTCCGCATGCGCTTTCTCTAGAAACCTGGGAGGAAAATGTTGAGCTGAGCTGGCAGAGAATCACGGTGGGGGCCCCTGGAGGGGACTGGAACCTGAGGCTGGGGGAAGACCTTGGTAGGGATTCTGGCCTGGTGCGGGGGGGACCTGGGAAGTCTCCCACAACCCCTCTCTGAGCCTCAGTTTCCCTGGAAGAACACCTAACGCCCAGAGGCCTCCCTGGTTTCAGGAGGGGCGGTGGTCGGCAGGTTATCTTGAGGGACACAGAGCTGGCAGCCTTCACTCCCCACACCTCGTGTTCAGGCCACCTGAGAAGGTCGCTGGGTGCGGGATGGGGGTGGCGAGGGCGTCCGAAGGGCGGGGCAGGTTGGGGGTCCGGAGGAGGGTGGGGCCGGCCTCAGGGCCGAGGTGGAAGCGGCTCCGTTGCTACGAGCGGCCTTAGCAACGCACCCATTCAGCAGAGACAAAGGCGCTGTCACTTGAGCGCAGAGGCGCCGCTGCCGCTCTTGTTCCCACTCGCGCCGCGCCTGCGGGGGTGGGGGGAGGGGCGGGGTGGGGCGCGGGCGGGAGTGGGGGCGCCGTCGGGCCCCGCGAAAGGCCTACCGCGCGCTGGACTGCAGGGGGCGCCTCCTGCGCGCTTTGCAGAAGGGGGAGCTGAGACTCCAGGGGACCTGGACGCCAGCGAGCCGTTGGGGGCCCGCTGGGAGCCCCGGGTCCTACAGACTCGCGTTTCAAATGTGCCTACGCTGACACCTCTGTGACTACTTTCCCCATCTGCGGGGTGGGGCCTGACCCCAGCTCTGACACTGCTCAGCTTCCTCATCTGTACAATGGGAGGATGGTATCCCCATGTCCCCGGATTAAAGGAGTCAGCAGACACCCGGCTTTATAAAGCCCAGAACCCAGCCCCAGTTAGGGCTGCACGAACATGCCTCTGGCCCATGCTGGAAGGAATCCCTTGTTGGTCTGAGGCTTGGCGGTGCCTGGTGGCCCCTCCTACAGTCACTACAGTCTCCTATTTTAAGACTCTGGGGAACTCAGGCTCAGAGAGGCTGACAGTGATCACAGGCCCCTTGGCTCGCCTAGAGCCAGGCTGAGTCCTTCTTGAGGCTCAGTGCTCTCCTTGAGCCATGCCTGGGGGGCTGGGCTCCTTGACCCCAGCCTTGCCCCGCTGCCCCCAGACCCCCATCATCTGTCCAGCTGGGGAAACAGCCTAGGAGGAAAGCACTTGCTTCTCACCGGGTTTGGAAGTCTTTTCAGGCCACAAGGCATCAAGACAGAGGCTCTGAGTGGGGTGTGGCCAGGAGGCTGGAGAGGGTGTGGGGGGCGGAGAGGGTGTGGGGGGCAGAGTGGGTGCACAGAGGAAGACGGGTTCTTTGCACACTGCCCCTCCTGGAGCACCAGCTCTAGGAAGGGGTCCCAAACCTGTTCCCTAAGCATGCCTCTCCCAAAGAGCACTGCATTTCCCGGCCAGACCCACAGTGTGCTAATGGAGGACTTCGGGCATCGACAAGGAGTCAGGTGTGGTTGCTTCTCAGATCACTTGATCCTGGTGCAGTGGGGCTGAAGGGGTATCCCGGTGCCAAGGGGAGAAGGGGGACCCCCCTGAGATGACAGCTGTACCTGATGCCTTGAATGCTGTCAGCTCCACAGCCTGAGGACAGAGGAGGTTGTCAGGGGGGATGGGCCCTTACCCCTTCCACTCCCCCTTGCCCTGGGGGCCCTCGGCTCCCACCCGTGGCCTTGGCATTCAGGCTCAGCCAGTGTGCAGTCAGCACCTCCCAGCGGCTCCCAGTGCCCTAGCACCTGCTGAGGAATGGGGTCCCTTGGATCCCCAGAGGAAGCCTCCCCGCCCCACCCCTACCCTAGTCCCTGTGGTTACCCCAACTCTGTGGGACATAATTGCTAGCCTCTTGGCAGAACCCGCCACCCCTGTACCAGCCTCACCGGTCTCTCCGGTTCTGCAATGGAGGAGAAGGTTGTGGGGATTCTGGGGCCGTGGGTCCCTAGCAGCGGAAAAACACTGGAGTAGGTGAACTTTTAGGAGGCTGAGGCAGGAAGCTCTTTCTCTGCTCTCCTTCCCTGGACAGGACCTCGTTATCAAAGACTCAAAGACTCTAAGGTTCCACCCAGAGGCTTGTTCCACAGATTAATGATGGAGAAACTAAGGCCCAGAGAGGTGAGGTAACAAGCCCAAGCACACACAGCAGGTGAACTAGGAGCTGGTATTGAAACTCCTTACCCCATGCCGTTACAGGGCCTCAAACCTCATCCACCCACCTGACTTTGGGAACCCCCAAACCCCCTCTGCATGGAGACCCAAGGAAGATGACCCTGGGCAAAACCTGCCTCTGGGCTAGGAAGCAGGGGCCCCTGTTCCCTGGTGGTGTGGGGAAAAAACGAGCCATTTCTAAGCTACCTTCCAGGCCCCATGCTTGCAGAATTCCCTGGGCCTCAGTCTCCTTGTCTTTCAGATGGGTTGACAGGATCTGCCATTGCCTTCCCAGCTTTACCTTAGCACTGTGGAAACTGAGGCACTGGGTAGTACTCAGACTGGAGGGTGGTGTGGCCTTACCTCTAACAGCCAAATGTCTTCCGGCTGGAGCCAAGGCTACAGGGTTGCCCTGAGACGCTTCCCAGGGACCCAGGGACCTAGGGTGGGACCCTAGGCCTATGGGGCTGGAGCAGGCCTGAAAGGAAGGGGCGTCAGCACTGGAATCTCGGCTGTGAGTGGGTCCTCCTGGCCCCCAGGATCCCCCACCTGCCCGCACCCACCATGAATGCCTCTGTCGCCTTTTTCTCTGTCATCCTCTGCAGGGCACTCCGGACCTAGTGGATGGGCATCAGGGTCGGTCTTGGGACCCTCTCCCTGACCCTCGACCACAGGTCCCCTGCAAGTAAGCCCTTCCCACCTCCCCCCCTTCCCCCCCCCCGGCAGCCAGTGTCTCTGACTCACCTCCCCGTTGTAGGCAGCGTAGACCAGGAAGATGTATGGCCCCTGGGAACAGATCCAGCATGTGGGTGGGTGTCACTGCCTGGGAGCCCCCCACCACTTGGCCTGGGGCCACAACAGAAATACCCAGAGATACCCGGAGACATTCAGCGACGCGGGCTGATGATCACAAACCCTGTCCTGCCCTGCAGTGCCCTCTGCACTTGGGAGGGGGCATCTGTGACATTCTACGGCAGAGGGAACCAGAAGGGGCCTCACCCCCCCCCCCCATACCTTCAGCCTCTGGCCACCAGGCAGCCTCTCTGTGCTCTACCCCTCTGTGTCCCCTGCCCCATCCTCATGGCTGCAGGAGTGGGTGGTGGGAGGGGGGGACACTTTCCTATAATCAAGGGTAGATCAAGCCCTGGGACAACAGACCTGGGAACGCACTCTGACTTGTGCCTCTAGCTGAGTGTCTCTCTGAGCCTCTGTGTCAGGGGCCTCGCCACCTGCTGTGTGTGAAGGACTCAGCACAGTGGCCGAGTCATAGCTGGTTCTTACTCCCCACGCGTGTGAGGACCAAGAGGTCTCGGCCACTCACAAAGTAACTTGAGGTTACAGCCCTCCTAGCGGCTCCATGGTGGGGGCGGGGGCGGGGGCGGATTAATTCTGTCTATTTGATGGACAGGGACCCTGGCCCCGGGCAGGAGACAGCGCAGTGAGTCCCAGGCCCTGGAGTGTGGCCCAGCAGTGGGATTTGGAGGCTGGGCCTTCCTGATGCTACCTGGACAGACAACAGCCCCTGTCCTGAGGTCAGACTAGAGGACACGGGTGGCATTCCGGGGCCGGGGGGGTCCTTGAGGCCTAAGACAGACCCTGGCACCCCCCCAGCCCCCACAGCCGGCCTGTCGTCTCTCTGCAGCCGCTGCACTGCCTTCCCTGTCCCGTTCCTTTTACCAGCTCCTCACACCCAAACAAAGGGATCTTCCCAGACTCCAGCCCGACCACACCGGCACCTGCCTAGCGCCCTCCCAGGCTCTCTGGTACCCCCGGGATCACGTATGAGCCCCTTACAACGGCTCGGGGGACCCTGTGCCGTCTGACCCCGTGTCTCCACCTGTCCCGTTTCTCACCAGCTCACGTGACCCCCACTCATGTCTCCATTGCATCTCCCCATGCTCCTCTGACTTCAAACACTCTTTTCCCTCACCGTGTTTGGGTGTTAGCTGAGAATCGCTCTCCCCAGAGAGCACCCTCTCCACGTCCCCACGAGCGACTCCTCTGTCCCCACACTGCCCCCACGTTCCCTCGGTCTCTCAGTCTCAATCAGGCCAGACTGTGCGAGTGTGGTTTTGGCGTTTGTCTCTCCCTCAGGCTGAGAACTCCAAGTATGGATTCTTTGATTCCGTCCACGACTATCTTCTCCAGTGAAGAACACGGTGCGGGCGCAGGGCGGCTGGATGAGCCCGCTCCGCTCCCGTTCACGGGGCTCCTGGTGCGTGCCGGGTGTTTGGCTCTGCCCTTGGCAAATGTCCTCTCACTTGAACCCCTCAATGATCTCATGAGGTGGAGAATATGATTGCCCTTATATAGAGATGCAGAAACTGAGACCTGTTTTAAAGTGTCAGCGCTGCCTAACAAGACTTGGCCAGGGTAAGTGTGAGCCGTAGCTGGTTAATAGTGAGGCTCAGTTCTCCTACAACGAGACCTGACACGGGAGCCACGCGGAAACAAATCAGCCCCGAAGAGTGAACAAGGCCGGGCTGAGCTCAGTCCCTCTACCCCAGG